CAAGAATCCGTCTCGAACGTTCGAGCTTTTCGTATTTCGAATTGAAGATCAAGTACAGTAATTCTTACGAATACGATTCCCGAAATTGATTGTTATGGATTCCATTCATGACATGGAGCTGTTTCGAACCCGAGAAAATCACTTGTTGACGTGACATTTTCGTGCGCACTCTCAAAATATTTTTTCTTTTGATCAATCACGGATATACNTTGAATGTTTCCATCTCTCCGAATGCTTACAGGAAAGGTAAAATCAGTTGCTTTGAGAGAAGAATTCCGTTTGTCATCTGATAAAAGTGAATCGGCTACCAAGAAAATTATTTTATGGAACTCAAGTCCAGTACCATCAGTACCTTCTGATTCATTCAGAAGAGAAAGTCGGCTTGTTTTTCTTAAAATTTTGACTTGCGCAGCTTCACTTCCCCGACAACAACAAAAACTGATTTTAAAATAATATTTACTCAACTATTCTTCCATCTCTTGTATACTATTTTATTCCTTTTTTTAGATGCGGTTTTCAATTATCCCTATCCAAAAGCACCCGGTCATTAGACCTGATAATTTTCTTCCTAGAGTAAATTTTCCAATTCTGTACGTTTATCCAATATGAATTTGGTTGGCCTTGACTCAATTGAAGAATAGGATGAATACAACTGTCGAAATTCATCTTCGATCGCTTCTGTTCGGCTCATCTCTTACCAGAGGAGAAAATCTCCACATCCAAATACTTCCAGGATATGTTTTCTTTCCCCGACAAAATTCAAGACAATTTTGAGGGGTTTAAAAATCCGAAAGCTCATCATAAAGAGCTGCGAAGAAAAAAAGCAAAGATCAAAAAGTTGGAACAGATGTAATGTTAATGCGCTGAGCAAAATTTCAAGTTTCAAACAAAACCCGAGTAGAAATACCCACGACTTCCAATGAAATTTACTCTTCAAAATCTGAGTACGCGTCTTAAAAAAGAGCGAAATGGTACATAAGTAAATGTATGAGTATATACCGTACTGTACTCTAATTTGACTTGAATCAGTGTGTCCGATTGTTTGATAACCAGCAGTAATCTATGCAAACTGTGGAACTTTTCTGGTACTTCCGAGTTCTAACACAGTAACGATGCAGAATCGACAGAGGGAAAAATTGCTCATTAAATGGGCTGAAGTAGTGACGCCCCAATACAGAAATAACGGGTGCAGGAGAAAATCCCGTGGGAGAAAAAAATCCCGCGTCCCGAAAATCTCGCAGGGTCCAAAAATCCCGAAGGTACGAAAATCCCGAAAAACAAATTATTATATCAGACAAACTTCGTTTGAAAACTAACAGAAGTCAATGATATTTAAACAATTATAAATGATCAAAGAAGTCTATAGCTGTTGTAGTTATAATTTAGTGATACAGTATTTCATTTTCAATCTTAATAATCACTATACAGTACAGTACATACAGTAATGTAGGGAATATAAAAAAAAAACATTCATAAAACGTCCACAAGTTTTCAACTCTACAAGATTTTCTCCAAATTGATGCAAGTTTATTACTTCAGAAGGCAAAGTTGAGCTGTGAACATCATTGGAAAATTACACAGTTTATATCCAAAAAATGCGGGGATGAATGCTCCAAATGAAGGCAACATCTTTCCCAGGCTTCCTCACCTTTTTCTTAAGAAAGATAAGGAAGTGAAGGTGAGGTTATATTGAGAAAGGTAATCCCTGAACCTCCCAAACCCTTGGAAGGAATTAAAACCCTCACACTTTCAAAATTTCATAATCCACCAGATTTGTATTCCTTCCAGACAGTTGGAAGGGAAACCTAAAGACAATGTTACAATTTTGTAGCACTCATCCAGATTTTCGGGCCTACAGAATTTTTGGCCGCACACGGGATTTTAGGGCCGCGGGATTTCATCATGGAGCCAGGACTAACATGCCTCGGAATACGAAGTACTATCACTACTTATCTTGAGATTTCCTTCTAATGTTGCTTTGATTTCTAAATTTCATGCCTTTTGTGTTGATTTTAAACCAAGAGAATAATATTAGATTTCGACCATCCCTGCAATACGGCTGCGGCTGCATATGTGACCCGCCGTTGGGCTCTGAATATCGCGAAATACCTAAGCTATAAACGACACGTTTTGCACGAAATCATGTTCACAGTGGTTGAATTTTCTCACGATTTTGAAATTTACGAAGGCATGACCCCCTTCCTCATGATTGAATGTATTCAAGTTAAGTATAATGCACTGAGTGCAACAATGAAAATCCCAAAGCCCCAAAAAGAAGACTCGCAATTACAACAGCTTTCTCTCTCTCACTTCACAAACCGGAATGAGATTTCCGTTTCAGTTGATGCTGGAGCAAGAACATGAAACTGGATTTCGGCCATTGCATTCAGCGAAGTTCGTTGGGCGAGTGTTCCGTTCGACTTCATAGTGCGTCGTGTCTTGAAGTGCAGAATGTTCGCGATGCCTTGTGTCCGATCCGAATTGATTTTTCTGTTCTGCATTTGCCTTTTTCGGAATGAAGTCTTCGCAAATGTGAGTATAGCGATTCCATGTGGATTTTCTACATCTTGGGATTTGTAATAAAATCTGTATTTTTTCGAAGCCGACTGTCGTTTACACTACACGAAAATTCTTCCCGGAAGGTCACAATTCAAGAATTGAATATGTAGGACGTTAATTTCTTGTGGAACACAGAATTCTTCCCACAGAGCAATGTGATTATGCATTGAAATTGAAACATCCGTAACCCGCTGAGATTTAGATTTCGTATTAGGTTTTCAGTCACGAAAGTGAGATTTCTACACCTACGAAGAAAACGTTATCTTACTGCAAGTTTCTTGATTGTAGCTCACTTTTTGTAATATTTGTGCGAAACAGTTGCCTCGTACAGTGAAATTTACAGTTTTGTGTGCTCTTTTTTTCGCTAACTTATTGATGGTTCACGAATGAATCCCTTGGTGCGTACATTTTTGGAAAATACAAGTTCCGGATTTCCCCCGACCCAATGTTTCTTCTTGCTATGTCGAATGAATCATTACTGTTCTTCTTGTATCTAGAGAGACCTGTGAGAGTCAAGTCCGCAGATCGACGAAGATGGAATCCTGAAATATACTAAAGAAATGCTATGCTCAGAGTAAATTCATTGCGGAAGTTTTGCTGAATCAGCGTGGGAAAATGATCCCAAATTCACGGATGCTTGCGCGACGCAAAAAAAAATAGAAGAATGAAGACCGTATTTCGATTGGTGTGTAAAAAAAGGTTATCTCGAATGCAACGCAATTCGGATATTTTGGCTCACGCATCAGGTAGAAACTTGGTTCACGAGTATTTTCGCTTATCCTGACGTAGGTACATCCGTTTTTCAACTTCTCTTCCGGATGATGCCGTCCAGAATGCTTTACTGCGTGACAAAACCAGTTCGTGCATCGTCTTTCTGCATATGCGCGTTGAATTTTTGTACCACGATTCCTTCTAAATTTGAGTAGATGTCACTACATTCGAAGTTCCGTTTAATCAACAATCAACCCCTTGTGCTTCTTCCGACCGTCTATTTATCCTTTAAAACAATTTCCACAAGGTGTCAGTCATTCGACCATCGGCTCCTAAGTTGAACGCGACTATTATATACCTCGCATGTACAGTATTTTCTGTTTAATGTAGAACCCGGCATATCTGTCTAAATTTTGATATTAAGAGGAAAAAAATTTAACGTGTGTACCTCTACGTGGACAACTCTATTCCTCGACAAATTGTACATCCATTGGAATCAGTATGCGGTAGGTGATTATTGATACCTTATTTACTCATTCAGCGAAAGTTTTATGGCACCCGTGATATGTGATATGTGTTCACTATGGATCATGGAGTTCGTCTGCATATAAGCAGTGAACTGCGTCTTTTATTCCTTTTCGGTTATTATGTTACACAAAATAATCTTCGTTTTTAAATTTAAGGGAGAATGAGGTGCGCAAAAAATCCAAATTATTTAAAATTGATCCAATTAAACACATTAATTAATATAATTTTGATTGCACTCCGTCTGTTTTTGAAAAGTTGATCGCAGCCCTCGAAAGCAAATAATGAACGCTTAAGCTTGGAAGACAGATTTTTTATTCAATTTATGCTCGCCTTTAGCTTGAAACGGCCATTGGTTTCCACGAGTTCATCTTTTCTCCATGCCAATTAAACAAATGAAGCCTAATTGAAAAGCTCTGTGTCCTAATTTTCCAACCTTTTTTCGAGGAAATGTTAAAAAAAAAATACCTTGATCGTCGGCACGTGCGCTGTTATGAGATCGCTTTTTTCGTAGATGTATCGCTGAAATAAAATTAAATAAGCATTGGGTGAGATTTTTTGTTGAATCTCCAATTAGAAGTTCTTTACTACCACCACGAGATCGTCGGCACGTGCGCTGTTATGAGATCGCTTTTTTCGTAGATGTATCGCTGAAATAAAATTAAATAAGCATTGGGTGAGATTTTTTGTTGAATCTCCAATAAGAAGTTCTTTACTACCACCACGTATCCTGCATGGTAACAACTTTTTTATCCCTTTTTTGTAAGGATGAAGGATCAACTCCGTGATGATAATGCTTTATTATCCCAAAAGTGACTTTTCCTCCCGAAAAATGCATCAGTTTTTTTTTTTTGCGCACTTGTTAGTTTTTTTCAGCTTATCAATGCAGTCTCATTTTTATTCAGTCCCCAAAATGCACAGATCAGGTGTTTTTTAAATGGAGAATAGTTGAAGTGAATGTCATTTGTATATGTGGAGCTGCTATTCAATGGGAAGCATTTACTGTATTTGTCTTTTGTCGAAAACCAGACAACACGAACAGGATTATTCCTGATTTCACGCATGCTCAAAGCATTCTGTTCATTTTCTAGGAATCCCAGAATGTGTTCCTCATGAATAATGTAGCTTAAATTCAGTTCACTGCAGGCGTGGTTTTTTTTTCACGAGTTATATGGTATGAACTTTTCTCCCGCCCCGCATTGCAGATGGACGCGGACTCGGCATTTGTCCGACTCAACAGCCGTTTGGTGCGATCCCTGTCTGTAAATGCCGTTCAAGACCCGGACACGATTTCGCATACGCCTTTGTTCCGTGATACTTGGAGCAGACAAGCGCTGAATTTGACCATGATCCAATACCGTGGCTCGACGAAGTTCGGCGAGAACATCTTGCAAATCGAGCAATTCAATGACGTTCCAGTTCGGTGGACCTCCGAAAAGCTCACCTTATTCTTGGTGCTAACCAGCAGCTCTTTGATTGTTTACGCCGAGCAATCCCGAAATTTTAAGGAAGCCTACATTTCTATTGCTGAAATCAACGGTGGGTTTGATTTGCTCGCTGCGAGAGTCTCAATATTAATCGAATTATCCCACAGATTTGTCCTTTTTTTTTGTACGCATGCGATAGACGAGTAGCTACATTCACTCGTTTATTTTACCAAGATGAATATCACCGCAACAACAAAAATTGAATAAATCTACATTTCGGAGCTTCGATTTTCCATGATCGTGCGCGAAATCGAGTGACCAATCGCAGAATAATTCCCATAAAACAAACACCGATGCCCACACTCTCGTAAATGTGATCAGAACTCTGCACCGACTCCTGTTTTTTGCTTTTTTTTTTTTTTTTTGAGGACAATTTGATTATTTGCTAGCCAGAAGGGCCAGAAGTCAATACCCTTGGATTAGTGTATTTTGCGTGATTTGCCTGTAGGTCGAACATGGTACCGCACATTACTTCAGAACTTCGACGAGAAATCTGCTGCTTTGCTGAAATGATCTGTGTTGATAATTTATGATTTATTTATCAATTTATTTCATCCTAAAGAATATAGCTTGGAGATGGTGTTCTAAGTTGTTGAGAGACTCGTTGAACACCTCATTAGCCAATTAACGCCGATTTAAAAAAATTAAAAGCAGTAAAATTATGAAAAGAATGCTGGTCTACGTATGAAAGAATACTCGAATTTTTTTATCGAGGATGGATTATTTCCTTACATATTATGATATTGTAGTGATAAAATCATGGAACACTTGGTCAAAAACTAATGGCACTGACAAGAGATTCAGACGATCAATTCAGCAGGATTTGTCAATTCAGTTTTGGCAATTCAAAATTGGTAACACGGCATATGAAATATTTTTCCCGGTCAAAAATTGTGTGCGCGCGTGGTATTGCAATATGGATTCGTGCTAAGTTTTACTCAGATGCATTTCTTTCTTGATCTCAGCATGAAGCAGATGAGTCGTATAGTGATACTGTGGAGGATTTCATCGGTTTTTGTGTCCTGGTAATTTCCTGAAATTTCAGATTTTAATTCGGCCTTCAAAATGAGCATATCTACGATGCTCGATGAACTTACGAAAAGCGTCCGACGAGTGGTCGCTGTTGCCGAACGATCGTACGATTATCAGAAATGGTCCTTGCATTTATTCGACGTGGACGCGATTTTTGGGGCAGTAAGTTTCACCCGAGAAAATCTTAAAGACCTGATCCCGTAATTATATTTTCACTTGTCTCTTTCCAGATACGAACGAAAAAGATTGAAAACCTGAATGCCTTTGGTGACCTTCAGTTTTTGGATAATCCGCGTCATGACCACCCAGTGTTGTGTCTCACGAGTCAATATCCACTTGGTCCAAATATGACTCATGTCTTGGATTTCTATGCGCTTCATTTTGATAATGGAATACCGACTGCGAGGTGAGCATTTATATCCTTCTTGAACACAAAAAATATGCGTGGCACTTCGAAGTGGGAACATAGAAAAAGATGCAGGTTTACATCTTTGAGGATTCCTTCCTTCAAAATAAGACTACAATACAGTGTAGTGATCTAAAATTGAGCATCGCCCAGAAACTGAAGATACGTTTCAAGTGTTGCATACTTCGGCGAGTTCTTTGCACGAAAAAGGTCAGGGAAATTCAGGGGCTTTTTATCAGTGAAGAATAAATTTTCTTTTAAAAATAATTGATCCTTTTTCGTCGTAATCTAGGTCATTTTCGGGCTTGTCCAGCAGGCATAAAACGACCCAGGTGGACTCTACGACGAATTTTGAAGGACCGACCGTGGGACCAAATTCAAAGGACCACAGAGAATTTCGTTGTAAAGAGCCAAAATAAATTTGGGGAGAGAACCACATGAAGTTGAAAAAGCACGAAGAGAATTTTCACATGTGTAGTCCCCTTTTCGAACGGCTTTTGTAGACTTATACCAATGCAGCTAAATAAATGAAAGCATCCTTCCCTGTAAATGTGACTCAAAAAATTTTATGTCTCTACAGTAGATTTTTTTCTTCCCCCACAGAAGTAGCTTCAACCAAACGGTATCACGTAATAGCTTCAAATCGGGCTACATTTTCCTGATGCTGTCCACCTGCTATACCATGTGACGCCAATCTCTCATTTTTGAAATCTCAATGGAACGAAATTAATTTTTTGGAATTCTATTTGTGAAGGCTGAGAAGAGAAAGAAATGGCACGTGCATGTAATTCGTAGAGAAACGGCACCTTAAACTATTTGGATGAATTGGACCTGCTTGCGTCAAATTCATTCTAGATGAAATTTCCACATAAATTCGAAACAAAAGCCTTTTTTTTTTCGTTGAACCACTTTGTGCAAATAATGGATCAAATGCTCTCAGGTGGCTGGAAAAATTCTTCGTCCACAACGGGACACTGGTGACCAGTGCGGAACACGGACGAGTGTTGTATGTGGCATTCGTGGAGCCTCAAAACGTGGTCGTGATCACAAAGGATAAAAAAGAACTGAAGCCACGCTTCTTGCAATCTCTGGATCTCCCGTCTGATCGTGGCTCAGTTCAACAAGCGACCATGATGCCACTTCCGGTTTTGCCAAAACTGATTGTCACCATGCAACGGAGTTTGGTTGTCTTCGGACTGAAGACGCAAATGTTTCATCTGCAGAATGAGATTCTCGCGAATCCACCGACGGCGGAAATTCTCGGCTTTGTGCCGCTGAAGTTCGACTATTGCGGCTCATTTTTTGCCTACCTCCAGGAATTGCGAATAGACTCGGCTTCTAGCCAAGTGTCTGTTGACATCGGCACGCTCGAGGAGTCTGATAAAGGACTTACTCTGCGACGGGCACATATGGCGTCTCTGCCTTGTTTTGACGAACATTCGCAACCCAGTGAGTCAGAGGTTCTCTTTTTACGGTCTTTTCCGAAACACACAAGTGCTCTGCTTCCACTATTATCACACTAGTGAGGATTTAAAATCTTTTTCAAGCGCAAATTTTCTGTTGGATGAACGAAAATAGGAATTTTTCCTAACTTGGGCATTGGTTCAAAAATTAGGTGCATTTATTCGCAGCGCTCATGCTGGGCCCAAAATTTTTCGAAAATATCCTGACTTTGCTGCAGAAGTTTCAAGTGGATCCAACTTAAAAATTGCCCTTGAAGAAATTTTTCTTGTTGCCACTGTGAATTTTCATGCTTTTTACTTATAGGAAAAATGTAAAGCATTATCTGTGCTGTGTAAAAAAAGCAGCGAATTCGACTTCTCTGGCTTGCATGTAAGCATCTCTGTTCATGGATGTGTACAGTAGTTCCAAGTGGCGAAATCATTTTATTGTTAAATTTGAAAAATGGTTAAAACTGACATTTACCGGTTGAATTTTTTGCATATAAATCTTCTCAACAGTTGCTTGTGACAAGATTTCCGAAATGGATTTCCGAACTTTCACCGTTTCAAGCAACGGCCTCATCGCCGAAGTGGCGGCGGATTCCATTGTTCCTGGGACAGATTCCGTGCTTTTCTTCGAAGTCCGTGCCACCATAGTGGACCAGCCGAACCCAGCACTGGCCAGCTTCCACGCAATGCGATCGAAATTGGAGTCTTTGGACGTGAGAGAATCATCGACGAAATATCCACGCCATTTTTCGTGCAAACCAAATATATTTTTCTCAGAATGGATTCAACGGAGCGGTTGATCAGTTGAACAAGTTTGAGGAGGGCAAGGATGATTGCGTGGAATCCGATGACCAGCTTGTGCAGATTCTCACCAACTCGACTATAGAAAACGTTTACGTCCATGAAAATACGTCGATTAAAGGAGAGTGGGATTCAAACTTGACACAAGTCAATGTGAACATTTCGAGGTTTGATAACGAAACAGCCAGGGATCTTCAAACCACAGTCATGCAGCTGATCGACGCATTAACTGGTCTTCAGCGGAAACTAGGTGTGATGTATTTTACATGTGCCATTGATCCTTAGTTTATCGTGACATCCAAAAATCAGAAAAAGTAAAAACGGCAGTTATTGGGTATAGATTTCAAATTTGAAGGCATTCGCTTTCTTGATTTTGGAAAAAAAAATGAAATTCAATGGGATTAGTCGCTGGTTACAAAAATGCTGTGCTAACTTCTCTGAATGGCTACATGCTCAGTTTTTCAAAGGTTTTTCTGGGGTGCTGTAAAATCTTCAACAGAATTACTGTTAAACCTTTCCAATTTCAGCCTTTGGAATCCAAAACAACCAACATTTTCCAGTTAATCATTGGGAAATCCTCTGAACATCAATGCAGTTCAAACCTATTCCTTAACTCAGAACTTGGCTCTAACCACTCTTAGTTAATTTTCTGCTGCCTCGCTTATGCTATGAAACTTGTGCTAAATTTTGGAAAAATGATCCGGAACATATGCAAATTTTATTTCAATGCTTTACGTAAAGTATGTGGAAACTTCCTGCAGTGGGAAATCTAATGGTGAACTTTTAAAATTATTGGAGTCCATGCTTTCAAGTGATTGAGGCAAATTAGATCATCCATATTCCTCAGCTCAAAATCTCCCTATAGTCTCTTCATATTCGACTCGGAGAGATTCATCTATAATTATATTCATTTTGATTTTCAGATTCTGCCGAAAACGCGACCAGTGTGCCGAGCACGACGTCCGCTGTGATCGATGATCTGATAGTCGCGGATAAGCCAAATTTCCCCAAGAATTACATTCTGTGAGTAAATTTATTCCTTTTTCGAAGTTACCGGTATGTACTCTCAAGTATACTGGAATAAATTTCTTTTCAGGGTCGATAAAAAGCCGAGTGTCGTTGATTCCCGACTAACGATGTCAGGATTGTTGGAGTGCACCGCTGCTACTGTGTCCAATTTGAATGGGAGAGCTGATCCTAATTTTATGTCTCGGAATCAGCCCGAGCTTGTTTTCAATGCATCCGTCGGATTCAATGAAGCAGTATTCACGAACGTCGTCGGATTGATCCAGTCCGAGGACTCGTTGGGAAACTCTCGCCCTCTGTCGCCAGATGGCCTCGTCTTTGCTGATCAGCACGTGGACTTCTCGTGTGAGAATCAATGATTAATCAGAGAATTTTGAAATTCTGATTGCAGGAACCATGCTATGCACGGTATCATGAGATTACGAATTTGTGTTCCATTTATTAGTCACTAACGCTTCGGAATGGAAGAGAGGCGATGCCGCTCATTTAAAGCTTGAAGCATATATTTGACTTCGAATCGAAATTACTGCACTTGCTAAAACTCGAAATTGAGGCTCGATAATTTGGTTTCTTCAAGGCTAAAGTTGCTCGAGAAGTACAGAAGTAGAAAATTTGCAAGCATCCGAATTTTGGTCATCCATTCCAAGGCGAAAATATATAAAAGCTGAAAAAAGCACAAGACCTCACATACAGTATTTAAAAATTTATCCACACCTAATTTCTTGGCTGCTTGGATATTGATTGGCACCGCATTTTATTTTTAAGCTACAAATTCTGTATTTAATTGCTCCACGGTCTAAAACTCTAAACCTTTGAAATGAGACCGAGATTTCAGTGATGAGGAGTCGTATACGTTTCTCTCTCTTCTCTGAATAATTGTCAATTTCATCAATTGTCTAATTTAATGCATGTACAGCAATCATTTTAGAAAGTGTTTATCTTAGTTTTTGTGGATTGCATGTTTCTAAAAAGATGAAACCAGTGTTCACATTTTTATAAGATGCTTGTGCACTTTGAGCCATGCATTTTTCAAAGAGAGATCCAGTCATTCCATGCAAAAAACGGATAGCTTTTTCATGTTTACTTTTCATCCTTGAAGTATACATACCAGAAGTCTTACACGGAAAGTTGAAACCTAAAACATGAATATATGCGCAGATATTGTCAAGTAGAATGCGCATCTCTGGAATTCTGGGTCTCGATGTCAACTTGAGTCGCAAATTAATTGGGTTTACTATGCTTGAATCGTAGTAAATAATTCAAGTAATCTTCCAAGGATATATTCAAATCAGAACTTGTCTTGAATTGTAAGATGGAAATTGGCAGTATTGAGATACAGTATCCCTCCTTTTGTCAAACATTTTAAGGTCATTCTATAGCCAATATTTATTTTGTTTGCTTTCAGGTTCGTCAGATGGGACCACTCAACATGTATAGTCATAAAAAATAATAAAATAGATAAGATGCGAGCTCGTGTTTTTGCGATTTATGCTCGATTGATGGAAATTAATATCCATACTATTCTACTTAGTTATTTACAGCACTTAAAGGTGGCTCTGATTGCGTCTGATTAATCTATTTCAAGGACTGTTAACTATGGCATATTGTAATGTATAATTTATTGGATGTGTCTCCTCTCAAATTAGTCCTTTCACCTTCTCAATGGGTTTAATGAATTCTATAGCGATACTCATTTTTTTTCAGGGGAAGTGTTTGCGTCTGGACCGGTGTGGATAAAAAATCTGAACGATACGACTTCCACACTGGACTCAGAGAAAAGTTCACTCCACAGTCGATTGACTAACCTTGTCCCTCGCAACGATCTAACACCGCACACTATCACTTCTTCCAAAGGATTTTCTGACATGATTGTTGCTAGTCGAATTATGGACTGTGGAAGTGAAACTACTGTGAATGATCTTGGGAATGTGCAAACCTTTCGTGACAAAAGTGTCCGAAAAGCTTTGGCGCAAGTGCGGTTCTCTGAGATCGAAATCAACGGAACTGTAAGATAAGACCTGCTTTAGCAATTGATTGCTGTGCATGTTGATGACCGGAAGGTGATGCAAAAATTATTTCCGACAGGTGCGAATTTCCGGGTCTTACAAATCTGAAGACCATGACCAACCGTACGCTCCCGTCATGCAAAGCAACTCGACTCCCACGTACGGTAAGATATTTATCATTAAATGCGACGATGAAGATTTTAAAACTTGGAATATCGTGTACTGCTGTACTTGCATGTTGGGTTCTTGAGGATTAATGTTATAACTGGTTCAGTTCATATACGGTACTCGTATTCTCAAATTCTGTACCGGTATGAAGTCGGATCCAAGGCATTTTCTCTCGTATACTCTGTGATATTGCAGATTATCTGCTGGAAGAACATACAGCAGTACAGTATAACTGTACATGTTTGTCGGTGAAACACGCCATCGATTCAACACGATGCGCGCCAAAATTTGAAAGAATGTGCTCCAGAATCTGAAATACATCAAGATCAACCAATTTTCTGTTTGAAAAGCAACGTCAGCATCATTCACGTCTTTCCTTCGTGTACAGTGTACCATGACTTCCTTCTCCTCCATCTTGAATTATGCTTCAAATATTAATTTTCACAAAAATTAAAGCGAGAGAATGAGAGGTGAAATTACGAGTCCGTCCTTATAGAGATGAGAGCATTTCAACACGTTTCATAAATTTAGCTCAGTAACTTCTGCTGGGTATCCTAGCTTTTTGTTTGGTTCGATGCATGCAATTTTCCATCAAGTCATATTAATGTGAAACTCATGCATACTCAAACATAAAGCTGAGCCTGATTTATTTTCGCCAAATTTTCCATAAAATATTTTCGCTCTTACTGTTTGAGAAAATACCGCTGAAATTGAAAAAAAATGCAGTAAAAAAAAGTTCATGGGTGTTCTTGAGCAAATTTCTGTTACCCTCGATATATTTTTTCGTGTGTTTCGACCATACATTTGATTTAATCGGCTTAAAAATTTGATTTAACTGGGTTGAGGGAAATTTAGAGGCTTTTTTAAAAGTCCATTTACATAGGGAAAATGCAAGCTTGCATATGATTAAGTTTTTTCTCGGGCCGTCGTTGGAGGATTCAGTTTGAATCTCTGTACTGAAATCGCTATATTTGAAAAACAAACGAAAACTTTGACCACTCCTTTGCAGGCCCACAGTTGAAATACATTATCGGAAATCTTACCGTGGATACCGCAGTTCTAGAATCAGTCTGTGGTGTCAAATTTCCTGACGGGATAATTCCTCTGGATTCCTCGCTTCCCCGGCGAAATTTAGGAACAGTAGTGTTTCCTGAAGGGATCAGGACTTCTAACCTGCAAGTAAGAATCTCCAGTGGGCGGCCCTAATATTTATAAACGACCCCCCTCTCATTTATAAAATTGTGTTTATTTTCAAAGATGCTGAGCCTTAATGATAAACCTGCTGAGCAGCAGTTGATGGCTGGTTTGACACCAAAGATAGACACGTGGACAGTTGATTCGTTGGAAGTTGGGCCCGCAGTCACGCTGACTGTGAACCAGTCGCTGAAGGTAGAAATGGTGAATCATGAACCTGCAGAAAAAATAGCACAGACTGTCATTACCACGAACACGGTGAGATGATCATTTCAAAATTCTTTATTAAATTGCACTACAATGTGATTTTGTTAAATATTGTAAAGCTCCCGTTTATGCCCCATTCTACATAGCACCTGGAAAGCACACTCCGTATTCATAGAATTGATTTGGGATTGCATATGAATTTGTCCTTGCCTTGATAAATACTATACTATACTTCACGCATATAAAGCGATGAACATGCACACATTCAAACTTCAATTTTTAGCTCTCTCCAACATAAAAAACTTGAAATTTCAAATTTGAATCTTTGATTAGCTCCAGCAGAGTCCATGGACATTGAGCGAATATAAATCATTTTTGGATCAGCTTTTCTCCCTCCGTTTTGGAAATTTTTTTCGTGGATTTTAATTTTTCAGATGATCATAGCAGACAAAAATCGACAAAAAGCAATGAAATCCAACTTTTACCTATAATACGCCTAATTTTTTAATCGATTGAAATGTGAATGACAATTTTCTCTCTACCGTGATGTATGGTGAAACTGCAGCAGAGTCGTTCGATTGATTTAAAGTTATTCGTGCATCTTATGATTTTTTCGTTCAATTCATTCAATATCTGCTAGGCGAGCCTCCATGATTTCGGAAATCTCAATGTTTCGGTGTTGGAAGCGAAGCACGTCGAACTGCCCGTAGGGCATGTGTTGACCAACCTCATGCGTTACAACGAGTCGCAGTCCTTAACTGGTGATTAGATTGAAAATTACATTTGTGCGATTCTGAACATGTACTGTTGATGTATAACAAAAAATGTTTCTAGGTCCGATTACATTTAATTCGTCTGTGACTTTGGGAAACGTATCGACGGAGAAATTGGCAACGTACAACTTCACGGCCCTCGACAGGGAAGCTGTGCCTTGCTCGGCATCTGCAACAAAATCTGTCAATCCACAATTGCGTTTCGTTGGGGAAAAACTGAACTTGGAATCGGCGAAAATTAACCGAGCAATGTGTGGATTTCAGATCAATGAGTTTGTTTTCAAAGATGTAAGTTCAGCTTCAATTTTCATTTTATTTAGAAAGCCGGCTGCTGTGCTGTAGCTTCTTGTCCTTCGCTTTTCCTTGTAAGAAGTATTTAAAAGAAAAGTTTATTTTCAGTGAAATGAGATTTCTTCGAATGCCCACTTCGTCGTGTTCATTGCAAATACGCTTTCAACGAAGTTACTCGACTTCAATAAATCTACAGCTCCGTTCAGTTCATGATTTAGTTCAATGTCCACTTTCGACGGAATTCACGTTTTCTGTGGAAGAAGCTTTTGTAGAGCAATACGAATTGAAAGGATCATCCTCGAATTTTTTCAATTTTTTTTTTTTAACTTGGGTCAATTTAATGAAACACTTCGAATTCTCGTCGGCTTTTTTTTTCCTGAATTGTCCTCTGACGAATAACTTGGACTTCTGACTGAGTGCTATGGTCAATCAGCAATGAAATACGAATCTGGAGCGGCGACATCTATTTGCTCTTGACCGAGTCTCTGGTTCAAACTCTCCTATCCTTTTAGAATTTCGAATGACGGCATCTAATTTTTGGTTCATTGTAGTGTTTTCGGGAAACTTATCATGTGTTTATTTAATTCTTCCACGTGCTATATACAGGACACGGAAATTCAATTCAGGACTCCAGTGATGGCGTCAAAAGTGGAAATTCATGGTAACGTCTTCTTCTCCGAAAAAGAAAATCCTCAGTTTGACAGATTTCTCCGGGACCGAATGAAACTCCGGGGCGAGGAGCAAATAATTGCCAAAAGCTTGATTCTTCCTGATCTTGTCGCCGAAAAACTCGCCTATAGGACCTTGAATGGAATAACTGCGGATCGTATCCGAACGAAATTCCTGAGAAACTCCGCTGAGCAGCAAGAAATGGACGGGCCCAGGAACCTTTCAAGTGGGTTTTGGTTTTTATCGTGAAACTGATGTACAGTATTGAATATTGGCATTATTTTTCATCTCCAGGTTTCTTGGTGCAAAATTTGAATGTAAATATTCTGAATCGAGAGATTGTCAGGGAAACCTTGGGACAATCTGTGAGGCTGCACGAGGATCAGACGTTGACCGTGTCGTATACGTTTACACAGGTCAGGCTACCATATTTACGCAAATCTAAACACCCCCTCAGATCCCAGTTTTTGAGTTTCTGAAACTGAAAAAAGAGGGCTTTTCTATTAGCATATTTGTGATTCGCGGAAATATAAGAACCCTTTTTTCCGATTTCCAAGTCACTTTAGCAATAAAAAAATGGAGATACTTCATCATTATAAATAATATCTGGCCTTTACTATTTACTATCTATTATTCAAGTGATGCATCGAAGTGAATTATGCTGATGAGGAATAATGTGCATGTAACAGATGGCCTTGCCTAACAGCATTAATCATTTTCTCGGGAAAACATGTGACAAATTTTAGGGTCCTGGAAAGTCAGAACACCAGGAAAGTACGGCGTGTTTATGTTCGCCTTTTAATGGAATTTTAATTTTGCGCATGTACAAAGGGGGTGCTGTGCTTATGAAATGGGAACATTTGATGGAAGCCAATTTTTATTTCAAAATTTCTGCAGCCGGTTGAGGTCTCGAAGAGCTTTTCTGCTAGATCAGTCGACAATTATATGATCCCCGAGTCGCTGAATGAAGTTTGCTGGAACGACAGACTATGTGAAAGGTCAGCGGCAGCAAGTGAGTTTCACAGCGAATTATAAGTCACAACTGTGCAATCGTCCGCCCATCTTTGGTAAAGAAAATGAGGGTGCTATGGTTTATATATTCAAGAACTCCGTTCTATAGCGAAGGAACGTATATGCATGTATGTTTCATTTGTCGATATATTTGCTGTATATCGAGATATTTTGAGGAATAAATCGTATGTCTTTAAACACCACTTAATTCACAGCATGTTGAACTGCTACCCTCGCATATTTGTCATCTGAAATTCCTATACAGTACTTATTGGCCTATAGTCAATGGGCCTCTTTTATATCCTTGGGACAGTCGCTGTAAATCCCCGGATCTTATTAGTCCGTCTTAGCGAAGATTCTCGTTCTAAAAATAGTCAATCTGCATCTGCATATTATAGAAATATTTAAAGAAAAGCAGTAATGAGTAGTGTATAAGGGTTTGCAGGGGAATTCCGCTGATTCAAAAAAGAAAAATATTGAGAATACTCCATCTTGCATTTGCGCTACTCTCATAGAATTTCCAAATTCTGTGAGCCAATTTTGTGATATTACCGATGCCTACATTTTGCTCAGCTAAATATTTTCGAATTCAGAGGGTCACCGTAAAACTATCGGCGGTATGCGGTATGTTAAAGTCGGCGGTATGTTAAAGTTTCTTTCTCGGCTAAGAAAGAAACTTTAACTTCGCTGCAAACTTTCTTAATGAAGTACCGTATTTTTACCTTCTACACAAGAAACGGAGAACTCGGGATCTGCATTGGATTGTATTCCTGGCAAAATTCAAGATAATTTCTGGTAACATTCTCGAAACTTTGAAACGCTATATTATTCACCTTAGAAGCTATAAAAAAGGGTGCTTGAGTTTTAACTTGAATACTAAATGGTTCCCAAGATTGAAAGATTGAGTTTGCAATCATCTGATCTTAACTTGAAAGGAATCCTTCACCGGATTTAATCACTATTCGCCAGCACTTGGAAATGAACTACAGTACTCATAAGTTTCATATTGAGCTACTTATTCCACCTTATTTCACCGTCGACCAATAAATGGACGAAACAATTTTTTTTTACGTTTCGAAGATTAACTGAAAGTGTGAAATTTTCCAGCCACGGCATTTTCACAACGTGTCACGGTGAATGGATCCTTGAACATTGAAGTCTTGAACGGAAGGGCGATGAAGAATCTGCTCACAAGCAAAAATGCCGATCAAAAAATCACGATCACTGGTGAGGCTGCTACATTTAAAACAACATCAGTTGAGACCAGCTTTATTTTATTTTTTGTTGCTGTTTTTGCAGGGACTATGAATGTATCTAGCGAAGGAACCACTGCTTTGGCCGGTGAAATCCAACTGGGAACATTGGCTTCCTCTTCAGTTGAGGAGTTCACGATTTCAGCGCTGGAGGCTCTCGCTGCCAAAAGTAGTGAAACCATGTCAAGCACAATGGTGGATGGATCTAAAGGTGAGAAAAGAATTACAGTGGTTAAAACTAAAATATATTCTACATTTCATCAAGCACCGCACTTTTATTTTCATATTTTGAAACTTCTATAAATAAAAATAGGGTTCTCGATCAAAAGGAAAGATTGATATCGTTCATTTCCATTCATATTAAATTAATATCTTAATTAGTCATTGAATGGCTGATACTGTATAATAATTTGTAGGATTTACCGCTGAAAGAGTTGCCAAATTTAAGGAGAGAATTGCAAGTGAATTGCAATTTCTCAGAAGCTTTATATATGCCTCAGAGTTGACAAGATAACTCTGGATTTCCCTTTTATCGAATGCTTGCCTCTTAATTTCCTGAATGCAAAATTTTTATTTGAAATTCAGGTGAAAATAATCTCCATGAGACTCGCGCCGTAATTTCAGAAATTTGCAGAAGACTTCGCACTCCATTTTTTACATTAAAAAAAAAATATGCACGTGGTACTCGGGTAAATGCGTTAGAGTTTACACTACTTTTAGGACTGTGAATTGAAAGAATTCCTGATGAGATAAAATCAAATTTTTTTACTGCGTATATAGACTAATATTTTTTTCTTCATCGTTTTGTTCGCAAATGTTCAATGAATCCTCGTGAGATACAAGGTATATACATCCGCTTTAGCATGAGGCAATGGATTTTTTCTCATCTCATATTCAAGGTGTGACGATCATCGACTCCGAAGAATTTGCAGTGCGTCATCTTTATTGTTCACAATTGAACGGCGCTCCTCTGGATTCCAGTTTGAATTCAGCAGTAAACCTAAATGCGTCAGAAAACCTGAAGATCAATGTCATCGTTTCGAACCTGGTGAGCATTCAATTGATCTAACAAGAAGCAATTTATTACGCAGTTTGTTTTTGAATGATGAAGTTTTTTCAGTCATTCAAAGTGACTCTCGAATAAAATCATCATGATCCACCCCGGCTTTTATAGGCATTGAGTCCTGATGTACCGAGCACAGCGGCGAAATTGAACAGCAAACCTTGGGGCAAAATTTCTCAGCAAGCTATTCATTTACCTGGAATCTTCAAACCGAACTTCCTCGCATGCACAAATATTGAAGTCGAGGAGTTGAACATCACCGGAATTTCTGGTATAGATTTCGATCTCCAATGTCAAAAGTTGGACCAGCCAATCAACGCGGAAGAGAGTGAGTTATTCAGTGTTATTGTTCTAAGTAATAAACTATAGATTCGTCTAAAAAAAGTGTCGACTCGAACCCCGATGAACCCTCGCATGATTAATGTGGTCGGACCAATCAGTGATCAATTGCCAGCATCATGTTCATATCACTCGTCAACAGCTCCAGCATGTATTCCTTGATTTCTTTCAGGCGTCTGGACTTTCACTGACAACATAAATGTCACCCAACTCGACGCTGTCGTGAAAAATTTCGATATTATTAACGATGCTGTAATCGTGCCAATCAACGCCGATCAGCCTTTGAAATTGAAACAGCTCAACATGAATGGGGCCGTTGTGCTCTCCAACCTCAGTGCAGACAACGTGGGACGAATGGAGAACTTCGCAAAATCGTTCAAGAATATCATCAAGGTTGAGTTGTGTAGAACAGTGTTCCCTAACCTTTTTGGTTCCGCGGACCGTAAAATTTCCATAACATTTTTCGCGGAACAGCGAATTAAAAAAAAAAAAAATCTGCAGACCAGCGTAGTTTCATGAAATGTTTATGAACTTGAAAAATTTTTGCTTGAAACACTGCATGGTAGATATTCAGAAGTTTCTGTTTCTTTGCAAACATTCAGAACCAAGAAACCAGCTGCAATGTCGGAATGTCTTCGAAAAAATTAAAAGTTTCTCAGGATTGAAAAAAATTAAAGTAATTTATTTCTGCCGGTGAAAATTTGTCTGAAGCGTCATTAAGAGAAATTCCAAATTTTATTTTTTCATCAGATAATTTTCAACTACAATTGTCTTTCCAACATTTCAGATAAAAATGAGTCTTTGTTGCTACTTTTTATACAATTTTAATGCTGCAGACAATTTCCCGCTGACCGGCAAAAAACTTCCGCGGAACGGCGCCGGTCTGCGGGTTGGGGAACACTGGTAAAGAATATATTTTTCCTCAAAGAAACTGATTCGAATGCTGATTTATCATTGTGCAGAAAAAATCGGACGAAGCTCAATCCATAGCTGAGACCAAAGTCGTGGAGCGCGACTTGACCATCATGAATTCCACGGAAGTAATGCGATTGTGCCAATGTGGTGAAGCGCCGGATTATCAAGAGCAGTATTGTATTTCCCCTTCAGAAATTGTGCCGCAAAATTCTGTCGTCCCCGTCAGGATTAAAGGTGAAATTCCCGAAGCATACAAAATATATTCTCGAATTACTAGTGTAGTTACTTTTTAACGAGTGTTATAGCGTCACTTGATGAAACTTAATAAGAAAATGGAAGTGTCGAAAGTGTATCCCAGTACAACCGATGTTGAAACAAAATGAAGTAATAATTTGGTGAATGATTTGAAGAAAACCTGGCGCTTTGTTTTATTATTAAATATTAATTGTAATGTGCTTTTTCAGTAACTGTAAGTTTGTCAAGGCTTGCTGGCTCAATTTAGGTAATGAACTTGTGTCCATTGTTTGTCTTCAAACTTCAAGAAAAGTACCTGATACTTGTATACAAAGTGATACAATTGTCAAAAATTTTGAAAAGCACTGCATGGGACTGTCACTCAAAAATGTTTCATTTTGGTCTTTGAAAATTATGATTCAGATCAATTGAATCTGAACCGTTAACATTCTACGTATGAATTTGTTGTATGTGGCTATGTGTTACAGTAAAATATATTTTATTAGAGGTCTTTTCTATATGCATGAAATACTCATTCAATCGATATTATTCAAGATATTTAAATATTATATGAGATATTATTCAATTCGTTGCTCTTTGAGGAATATGTCTAGATATTCTTGAAATTCGTTTGAAATTTATACTGTATCCCGAAATCTCGACCGAAAGAATATCAAAATGTAGCACGACTCACCGAATTGACAAGGTGAAATTTTTTCTCGAAGTTTCGTACATTTTAGTCGACTCTAACTTTTATTTTATATGCATTTTTTGACTTTACGTCCGTATAAAATGGTTGCTGATGAGAGAAAATTCGGATACTCATTTGTATAGAAATATAAATTATTGTATAGCCGCTTGCATATCCGAATTTTGCTGTCTGAAAAAAAGGTAGGCCGATCATCGGGATGGATCATAGAAATCCAAGTGCAAGTGTGAGTTTCAATGACTTCGTGTAAACCAATTAACGAAGTTTGTTACTTTAATTTTACTGAAATTCAGTGCGTAATTTCAATTGTAGGCATTTAATTTTCTGCTTTTCGAAGTTGACCATTCATGCAAGCATTTAAAGTTGATCGCGGATTAATAATTTTAAAATTAAAATGATTTTTGTGCTCTTTTCGCAGGAAATATCAGGGGATCTTCTTGGCAATCTGGCGGTCTTCACTGTTCAGAGTCGTTCAATGGTCATCCAACGAATGAACTCGTCAGCAAGTTGTTGCGCACTGATAATCCACCAGTGCTGAATGATACGATCGTCGTGAAAAACAATGCGACACTTCGAGCTCCGATTGCGGCTGATTCGCGGATTTTCGTCAAGGGAACTTCGACTTCGCTGAAGGCCATTCATGATGGACTAATTGTTGCTCGACAGGAGGAAAAACAAAGAGCAAGAAAACTGCAGGTAAGCGAAAGTTTAATCCATCTTATTTTTATCTTATGTCGTGAATGCTACTATACATTACTTTTCTGGCTTGCGAAAAATATTTACGGCAATTTCCAAGTTTCTGATTTGCGTAAATTGAATGGCGAACTTGATTCTTGGGTTTGTAGATTGCGCATCTTGGTGATGCAAACAAAACAAGGTCCAGGATAGAAATGATAACTTCATTGTGTTGATGAACGCATAGCAAGTTGAAAAAAAATGTCAAGTGATAAAAATATAATTAAAAAACTCGCTCAGGTTTTTCCACATTTTGAAACATTCAAAGGTGTAAAGGTGAAGAGAGTTCTATTGCAGGTTGTTAAAATCGTGTTCACTGCTTCCTGTTCCAGTTACAGTAATTTGATAATTTTCCTAAAGCTCTCATGACTCACTTCTTATGTCAATAAAAGGCCATACCAATTCTGTATAGAAAATAACATATTAAAAGTGTTCATTGGTGTGAATTTAGCTGCACCGCAGGATTTCCTGGCGAGTACCACTATTTCTTGACCAACACAAATGTCTCAAATAAACGCAGAAAATCGTATGTTACCTTCACTGATGAGTATTTTATTTAAGTGGGAAAGCTAAAGATAGACTTTCAATAAATTTTTTGCAGGAAAAGTCGGGAACAAAATTCATAAATTTACTAAATTCCCAGGGAAAGTTTTCCAATGCTGATGATGATTGATGAGTATTTTTATGGATGAGATGAAATTTGTCAGGCTCAATTTATGATAGAAGAACTGTGTTCAAAATTTGTTGCCATTTGTCTTGGCGCATGAGTAAATTAGTGAAACTACATGTGATTGTATTTATGATTTGTAAGTGTTTACGCTGCTCTTATGTTATTATGGTGAAGGTGCTGGTGCCGAAGTCCTCGACAATTTTCTTCACATTCACCTCCAGCTCAAATTTCTTTTGCTTATAGAAAGTTAGCAGTCGAAGTATCTTCAGGAATTGAAGAAAAAACTCCTGAGAAAATAATGTAAAAAGTATGACAACTAAAGCGCGGACCTTGATTCTTGATTTTTCAGCTATCTTACAAACCCTTGGCAAAAATCAGGATTTTTTTCCGGAAACGGATCCCGGAAGTGAAAGATTCCTGCTGTTGACATTCCGCTGGCATTACTCCCAGGCCAGGAAAGATGCTTTCTATGTTCACCGCAAAGTTTCACCCGTACCTGCCTTTTCTATGCTAAATTTTGATCAAAATTCGTGAGCTTGCTTGAGAAAGAATGAAAACTTGTATCTCTTTAAACTTTCCTTTTATTTTGAGAGCTTGGTTTTATTAAGTAATCGTTGGTCGACAGTTGTGCTTACTTTTGAACCACCCTATATCGGGCCAGCTTCGTCGAAATGATTGGAATTCCCTTCATTCAGCTTTTTCTGACTTGAAAATAAAATAATGTATTCCCTCATTTAGCCCTTGAATTATTTTTTTTCGGCTTTTGCACCCTCCACTTAAATATGTCAGATAATTAGCATACTAAAAAAAATAAGATACCTCAGGAATATGCGGATGACCATAAACGTGTGGCCAGCGAGTCATTTTTCCACTCGGGGCATGTAGTATAATGCTTTGCAAATAAAGAGGAGAAAATTGCAAATCCATAAACCTTCCGGTAAGAACTGGAGACAAATTTTTGATTCTAGAAAAGGCTGATGAGCACACAATGACTAAAGAGAAAACATTTCATTGGGGAAGGAAAAAATCACTACAGGATTATTTTCTGAATGGGAAAGAAATGATTCACAAATGAATTATCCCCTCACCAGAGTCAATTTAAATGCGAATTTCATTCATCAATCCAATGCTGGAGATTTTCTCGTGCAGATGCAACATGTGTATTACTGGGTTCATTTTAGACATTTTGCCATGAAGTTCGCCGAATGGTAGGTATACAACGTGATATGCTTTTTTTTAAACTTGTTCACTTAACTTTCAATCAAAAATGTCGAAGAACTGTCCAGCAGCGTCTTAAAGCTTGTGTCAGCCATGCACTGTAGGAATGATCGTAAAAAGGTTTGGCAGCAGTTTTTTGGTCTGTTCTTTTCTAGGGTACATACGAGGGTTGGTTCATGAAAGATGATAAAAAGCCGAATGCCGTCATCGGAAGCGGATGCTATTTTTTCTTTTGCTCCTCAATCCCTTATTGGTTTCTAATAATTGTTTAATCCGCTACTCGGCTACATATGGAAACAAGAAAAAGACCTGGAACACTGTGAATCCCCTCCACTGAAGTGAAGTTTAATTGATCAAGAGCAGCTGAATGCGCACTTGCATGCTTTAAGACTTTGGGGGCTAAACTTCACTTCAGTGCAGGGCATTCACTGTGATCCAGGTCTTTTTCTTGTTTCCATCTGTAACTGAATAGTTGATGAAACAATTATTAGAAACCAATAAGGGATTGAGGAGCAAAAGAAAAAATTTCATCCGCCTCCAATGTGACGGCATTCGGCTTTTTATCATCTTTTACGAACCAACCATCGTATAACATACAGAATGAAGAATTTGGATGGTCAGTTTAATTTCGTCCAAAGAAATGAGAAATCCTCCCACTTCATTTGAGAATTTGGTGCCTTATTTCATTTTATTTTATTCATGTTTGATTGCTGTTCCTTACGATTCTCGAAACACGTTTCAACCCGAATTTTTGTTTGTTTGAAGTAAGTTTTAAAAGATGCGGCCAACCCATGCAGGATTTTACGGGTCAAGTCAGATTTGAAGCATGTTTGTGTCTCAATTGCAGAAAACCTGATGCTACTTAAACTGTATTCCGGGCCTCGGAGCAATAAATGCTGAAATCCTGCTCGAGTCTTCGGCAATAAAGGAACTCGCAAGAACGCATCTTATTACACGTTCTATCAGAAGTAGGAAAAAATGAAATATCGTCACAGAGAGAAGAGACGAAAAACAAAGAAGTGCCTCAAATTTTCCTGGCCATGGATCCCAAATTTGTTTGATTATTGATCGATTAACTTCGATATAAAATCGATGCATCATATATATGAAGCCTGTTTCAGAGACTATTACAGAAAAGGGACATTGTTTGCGGCATTTCAATGAAAACTTCTGACCCTGAATCTACAGCCTGCAAAAAAAATAATTTATAAGAATTGACCGCGATTCTGGAAAAAATATTGACAGCAGCCTTATATATACACGTGTGAAGATATCATCCCAACATTTTAGCATGCGGTCGAGTGTAGCATTCTTCCGTAGATCTGGAATTTGCATGTTGATGACTCCTGATAATTGCGCCCAATGTATATTTCATTAGAAGTTCTGGCAAGCGTAACATTTTTTTTTTTTAGATTCGGCTCTAAGTGTAACTTGAAAAACACACTTGAATGCCTTAGGTTCAGCTCCAGGAGTTGTGCGGCGAATGGACACGAATCCTTGGTGAAGTTGGAGGCAGCGCCAAAATTATTGACTCGTTCGAACTGGCCATGGTTGCAGGAAGCCCTGGTATCCCAATCAAAGCTGCTGTCATGTTCGAGGTGAGACTTAACTTTGCTTACTTAATTGAATGTGTGTTCCTCAATTGAACATTTGAATAATTTTTCATCAACGAGGTATGTATACCGTTTTCTCACGCAGTAGAGTATTTTCGGGTACAGTACTTGATTCGCGATGCCCAGATAATATCGAGGATAGTGTTTAAACCGACTCTTCAATCTATCACGTTGGTTCTTCTACTGAAACAAGACCTCCTTCATCAAAAAAATCAAACATCGAATGAAGACCGAGAAAAAAGCCATCGATACAGTGACTCGTTCTCTTTTTCTGTTCACTATCCATGCCTGACTTCAGGATTACGGCTTTTTAGAATTTCCTGACTCGAAATTCCCCAACTTCAGGGTGATGACTTTCTGTGATTTCCTGAGTACTCGATAGAGGTTTTGCTGGGCTAAAAAAAATCCCTACATCGCCTTTAATGATGTACTGTAGTTCGTGTTGTGTGTTAACTTTTGAAATAATTTAATGAATGCCCCACGTTATTAGCCGGTGCTGGTTCGGGACTTGTTTTTCCTGGTGAAAACTAAAGCATCCTTTTTCCATTTTTAGAGAATTAGATCGAATGCAGTACTGAATTGTGAAATTTTCCGAATTATTCGAGGAATTCCGATCAAAATTGTCCAAAACGTATCTTTTCCGAATGGGCAAGATGTGTTTGCTCAAGCTATGCTAGAATTTAGACCTTTTCACAAAGATTTATTTGAAAATCTAGGTGCGTTATGCATCTATATATTAGCTGGCGTGTCAACTTTTATGGCGACTTTCATTCTCTGGCAAATCGATCTTCCCTTCGATCTACACAATCTGAGACAAAAACTATTGAATATTTTTCGAAAAATCCTCGTCATTTGCGGGTAAACCGTGCTTGACTTGGACATTTTTATTTCTATTGGAAGTCTCTGTAGAGATGAAGCTGGTAACTGAAGAATGTGTCACATGGCGAGAAACCCCTGCTGATTTTGTAAAAAAAAAAAATTTAATTTATTATAGCAAGAGTACGCAATGTATTCGCAGGCAAAATCCCTCTCATTACACTAAATGAGACTCACATTATAATCGAATGCGTCAATTGCAGGATAAAATAAGGTGCTATTTTTGTCAGCCCATGAAAAGTCCATCTTCAAGTTCCCCGAATTTTGTTATGGATGTTTTTGCAGTTTGACGGGGCGGTGAATGTTTTGGCATGTCATGCAAGCCCTCTTGAAAATTTGAAACCCGGACATTGTCGGTTCTGTCGCCTGCACTTCAACAACTTGGGTGCACTGCATCCTACAAATGCTTTATTGGTGGATATCGAGAGTTTCGTGACGGGTATCGATTTTTTGCATCACGACGGCGAACACCTTTTCGTGGTATCTACGGATTCGGGTCCCTGGGATTGCGATGCCAACCAGGCTCAGATTTCGCTTTACCGCTTTCGTTCCCCGTATTTCACGGTATGTATTCTTGACTGATTTGAGCAATGTTTCAAGGTTTTCACAGGGAAATTAAATACTTCTATCAGAATAGTTTTTGTCACTCAGACAATTTCACCAAGTAAGTATTAGCGAGCGACGTCGGGGTTCTGAAGAAAAAGGTTATTATGGATTATTGAGAAAGAAGACGAGTTTTTGTTTCTGTTTCAAGCAATTCTTGCTGCTTTTTCATCTTCCTGATGGATTTCACCCATAATTATGCTCAGAGGACTGAGCTATAAATTACAGAAAATTTTTAGCCAAGGAGTGGCTTGAATTATAGCACAATAATTGAAAGTTTACGAAGACAGGAGCAGCAAAACAAAAACGATTGATAGTTCAAGGGATTTTGTTGGAAAATCGTAAATAAAATCATTGTAGAGTTCATCTCTCGTTCTCGCTTCGATTATTTCTGCATTGCTTGTCGAGTTTCCCGCGATATTTTGAATGTGAAAAAAATGAGAACCTCTGTAATGCTGCGCACGCGCAAAAAGTTGCTGTACCAAGCATTAGACCAAGTTTGTCTTCCGAGACACGTTGCACTGTTCCGTTGTTGAAATTTGATAATTGACCTTTCTTTATTGTAGCTATTGGCTAAATCGAAGCTCAGTTCCACAAGACCGAGAAAGGTCAAGCTGAGTGACTTTGAAGGAAAATTGAAAGTGCTGGTCGCAGCCGAAGACGGTTTGACAACGCATGAAATACTCTCCGATGATCTCAGAGGCCCTTATGAATTCCGCACCGTAGGCCAGATTATACCAGCGAATGGTAAGTTAATTTACGAAATTTTCTTCCTATTTTTCCAATTTCATGTGAAACAAGCACATTGATGATCAGTCTAGAAAAATGAAGTGCATGAGAAGCCGAAACTGAACGTATGACGGAAAACGTAAGGCGGAAAAAGTGTTCGGAATTCTGTGTAAGAATAGCAAAGAAGGGAAGAAATGAAAACACATATTTTTCATTTTTCAAGGATGAGTATCACTTTAATGATCTCATTTACAACTTTTTTTCTTTCGGCCAATCTGATGACTATCAATTGGTGAAAATTACCTTTGGAAAATTGTTTCAAATGTATGAAGGAACGAGGGCATTAATACGGAGGTATGATTCTTTTGTACACTACGTAATACAGTACATTACTAACATTTCAGATGAAGAGGAACTTATATCAGATTTTTCAGCATCTGTTAATTGGAATGGATTTTGTATTACTTACTCTATATACTGTTGACAGTGCAAGCAATTACTAAATATCTTATCTAATTGTGAACTATTGTGAACAACAACAATAAAGCAGCAAAAAAAATCAATATTTTATGTTGCCTCATTTACTGCTTTACACAGAAAATTTTTTGCTTTATGGTTTTTCTTTCTCCCCACAAGATGCAAATTTCAAAAGGAATTATTCTTCAGATTGAATATATACTTAGTACTGTGTATCGATGCTTTGTTTTGTTTTTCAGGGGATTTTGATGTTCGAGCCGCAGTTCCAGATAATTCGCTCATCACATTTGCTGCTAAAGTGAATGATCGAAGTACCGAAATTTCCCTTTACAATCAAGATGGGTTCGCACTAGCTGAGCGCTTTGCAACCAGCCCAGTTTTACAAGCTTTTGATGTTTTCCCGTCTGCATTTGGTACAAAATTAGTGTCGGTCGAGCGGAACTACCAACCAAATATCAAAATTCCACTTGTACAGGTATGTGCAGGCATTTTTCTTTGTGTTATTTTTGAATCGAAAAGAGTCTAACATGTGTTTTCTATTGTGCAATATTTTATCATTTAAGAACACCTACTGTTGGGGTTATATTGTGATTCCTTTGCAACAAAATACTGTTGTGCCCTAAAAAGCTTTGTCGTTGCAATCGTGGTTGTATGCACAAATCAGGAGGGAAACAAGTTTGTTATTTACAAAAGAATACTTTTACCAAGCTAAAATCTGACCCGAGCAAGAAAAAAGAAACTCAATTGGTTGGATTCCAGGAATGAATACTAGCATTTGAAACTTTTTTTGGTTTCTAACGACATGAAGTGTAGAGTATTATGGGAAAATCCAGCAATGAAATGAATATACTGTATTACCTTTCGAAATTGGGGATGTGCTCAATTTAGAATCCGTTATTGGCAATGTCACAGAATGCAGAATCAACCTTTGTTTTTTCCAACGATGATCCAGAATTCTTTCCACAGGTGGTGCATGTGATGAGAGATACTGAAGGGTACCGGAAAGCAGCAGAAATCCAGATCTATTTACGGGAATTGCCCGATACCCACAACCTCAGACATCCGGTGGATGCTAAGGGATTCAGCATTACAAATGATGTTACTTACTTGGCGATTGCTGTTGATGGAACGAGCATATCGATCCATCAATTACTTGGTGAGCACCTGCTTCTTTATTCATGAAATTTTTTCAATAAATGTTGATTAGCCTGGCAGCTGGTCAGTATTGTGCGATCATTTCATCCTTATTTAGAGGGAAGCTGGAAACGTGATAAAGGATCTCAAATTGATTTCCGTAAGCGTAAATCCTACGTGGATTTTATTTTATAAATGCCGAAGACTTCACACTTTAAAAATTATGACAATAATGTGACTGAATCAAAAAAATAGCTGCGTTTTATCCTGAATAATATCTGCAAATTTTCCAAAAACGTTTCATGGCTTATTGAATAATATGCCGAACTTCGAAGTTCAAAATTCCATTTTCATTGATTGATTTTGATGAAAAATTAAATGATTGGCTCGAAAAGTTTGCTTGAGCATTTTCTGGACGCTTTCTACAATGTTTATGCACATTGTTTTGTTTCAGGATCCTCTGGAGCTGAAGAGTTGCTCAACGTGCACGCAAAAGACATTGTGAAATTACTACCGGTACTCAAAATTGGCTCAACTGTGTATTTGGGAGCATTAACATCGAAAAACGATATCTTGGTTTTCTCGTCGAGGAACTTGGGCAAATCCCGACCAGATGATAGCCAAGTTTGCCAAGTGGGTTATGCTAGTGGTGAATCGCTGCTGCAATCCTTCAATTCGGAGGCTTCTTCGGGAACAGTCATTGCCCAGAGGGAAGCCATCAGTTCTGCCCAGACACCTCTGGAAAAGTTTGCTGAGTTGGCTAAATTGGGAGTGGCCCTTTGGCTCGAGAAGTCAGCGGTTCCGGGGGTTTTCAACGAGGTATTTGACATTTTTACACGATTTTATACCTCTATGCTTAATTTAGATATAAAATCGAACTGTTAACGTGCAATGTTTTTCAAGAAGTCCCGTGGGTGAAAAAAAAAAATTGCATTTTTTTCGGGGAAACCCGTTGGCTAATTTTCCCCTAGTTTTATTCAATGATCTAATTTATTTCGTTAGAAGAAGACGACGTTGGACAAAATTTTAGAATGACTTGAGGGAACTCAAATGTTTACCTTATATGGAAAGCGATAATTTTTCATCTTTTCTTTCCCTCATTACGAAGCTCGGCAATGATTCCAACTTAACAATTTTTTTCTCATTTTGGAATTTGTTGACAACTTTTCCCCAAGGTGTTCAATATCACATTCATTATATTTTGTATTATATATCTTGTATAAGCCTCAAATTACTTTTCTCACACACAGTTTCCTGCAGGAAATCTTCCGTGGTACACATGACAAATCTGTAAAAAGTATTTTTGGAATCAGTGGATGATCATGGATTTTTTCTAAAAAAAAAAAAAAAAAAAAAATTTTCTAGTCCCCTGACTTTTGTTGCAGAGATTTAGAGGATTATACCGTAAGTTGGTTTCAAACCAGAACCTCTATGGGATGGATAGATTCCTATAAGGGGGAAAACGTCGTTTTACCAAGAACATTTCTATATAGAGCAGTGTTCCCAACCTTTTTGGGGCCCTTGGACCAACAGATATCCAAAAAAACATTTCGCGGACCAGCAAAGTTTTGCAAAATTTTTTTCGACTGAAAAGCTTTGCTTGAAAGACTTCATGGCAGGCATTCAAAAAGTATCTGCTTCTTTGCAAAAATCAAGAACCAATGACGCTATATATAGTGGAATGTCTTGGAAAAATTAGAATGGTGGGCTTGGAAAGAGATTTCTTGGACTGGAAAAATTAAAATGATTTATTTCAGCAGGTGAAAGTTTGTCTGAAGTGTAATTGGGAGAAAAGCCAACTTTTGTTTTTTCTTCTGATAATTTCAACTGCCATTGTCTTCTTTAGATTTTAGATAAAAAGGAAAGACTTCATTGCTGCTTCTACCAATTTTTTATACTGATGGGTTGGGGAACACTGGTGTATAGAGAGTCTGCAATTGCAGAGAATATTGGATGTGGTGTCCCATCTGCGCCAACCGTCGTCATCTGGATACAAGATCACTGTAGTTCGCCCATCCTTGCCTCGTCCGGTTCAAGTCAGCAACAGTGGCAAAAAATGGAAGCTTTCTGAGGCACTCCGGCCTCAAGGCATCGGCGCAGGACAAATGCACTTCTTCAACAGCATATGGCAACTTGGAACACCGTCATCGTTTCACAGTGTATTTGTGAACAATGCTGTAGGTTTATACAAACATGCATTCCCAATTTACGATAACACAGTTTGAACTGAAGGGGGAGGGGGATCCCCCCCCCCTTCAGAATCGTATAACTTGTTTTGTTTTTTGTAAAAATATTGCTTGTGAACTTTTTTTTTATTTCTGGGCTCATCTGAGGAGGAAATCAAAGTATGTGCACTGTTACTACACCCTAACTAATTCTCTTCACTGCAAATACTGACCCATATATAGCTACCAGGATCCCCCACCCTCAGAACCCATCTGAACCTTGTGGGAGCCACAGCTCATGTGGGGACACCCCTCCTGGAGGGTAGTCAGGCCACCCTAGACTGAAGTAAAAATGAGTACCAGTAGGCCGATTTAACTTTTGTGACACATTACCTACCAGTGATCTTTATTAATATTCACTTAGTTATATTGACAGAAATATCAAACAAAAATTTTGATGAGTGAATCATTTTCCAAACTTCACCAAGTGAAGACAAGTCCTCAATTGCTGAATTGCCAATGCCAGAAGGCAAGCAAAAAAAGCACACAAAAAGTACTAACACGAAGTTTATCTATCAGGTACAGATGCAATAGAGGAACTAATCCAGGGTGAACCATTGATGAAGCCCTTGGGAGATAATGCAGCCTACTCATGAAGAACATGAGGATGAAATATCCACTGCAGAAATACAGGATGGCAATGATACATTTGCCAGATTCTTGCTGGCATTACAAGATTGAGAACAAATTTGTGATCTTGGAGACAGAGCCAAAAAAGTGATTGAAATTTTTTTTTAAAATGCTATGTCTCAGTGTACCTGCAAAGAAATTGTGGCTGAGTTTTCTAAGATCCTTCCACCAGTCAGAAATACAGGGGTTGGCATAGTGCAGAGGGTCAATCACCCCTTGTGGAATATGTTGACCAAACCAGCAAGGGTGATGGATAGTATGCTGCAAAAAATTCAATCTATCCTAATGTGTGTAAACAACAGACTTGTTAAAGTGTTCATTGACAAGGGCTTGAAATGAAACCCTTTGAGATTGTTATCCTATAAAGGGTAAACCCCTGTTTAGCCTTACTCATTGAGATCACACTCTGTGAACTCTCTCAAGTCAGTGGAAAGATCAACCGTCTTCCATTAGCAAACCAGGGTCCACTCATTTCCCCTTTTCTGTAGAATAACCAGGAAGTCCCAAAAGAGTGAAAACCCTGTGAAGATCATTTGTCTNTCCAACCTGGTGATCTTGTTGCAATTTTTCCCCATCTTCCAACAGTTTGGCAGCCTGCAGCAAACAGACAATTCCAAATGCAGCAACTGGGACCTTTTATTGTATTCTCCTACCAGGGTAACAGTGACTCAGTTCTTTTCAGTAACTGATAAATATATTTCCTTTGTAAATATAACAGTAACTGATTTAAGGACAACAAGATACTATGGGAAATACCCTAAAAGCCCTTGCCAATGCATATATGATACTGCAAGAGGAGAGAAAGAAAAATGTGCAAAATCACGGGAATGAAAATGTTTGTGCTGCGTTTCGAAATAATAGGATCTCAACCCAATTGTTTGGTGAGAGTTGGCCAAATCTATCCAATGGTGAATTGGTGAAAGAAATTGAACAATTAGTGAAAGCAGATCAGGCACTGAGGCCACAGTTTCAAAAAACTCAAAATTGGAGAGGAAAATTTCCAAGTGTTAGAGGAGGGCATCAGCCATTTTGACCTTGACCATATCAGAAACCGCAGGGACAACTTTGTTTCCAGCATTTTTTGGGGGAAGGCCAACCCAACAAATTCTGCCATCAGAATGACGATCAACCCCAGAACAATTACAGAGGTTGATCAAATTGGCATACCAGGAGAAATTGAAGGTCAGTAAAATTCTGGATCATATTGTGGGCAGAAGATTACGTAACCTCTTCAAATTTTGGTGAGAAAACATCACGAACGATCCTTGGATTTTACATATAAGTGGAGTGAAAATTGATTTCCACAAAATACCACCAAATCCTTTATCAAGAAACAACCCACAAATCAAGTTTAAAGAAGATATTCTTGCAACAGACTTTTTGGTCAGGGATCTTCTAAGACTGAAAATAATATGGAAACAAGAATGGCAACCATACTTAGTGATCAACCCAATATCTTTGGTGAAAAATCACAATGGATCCTATTGTCTTATCCTGAACAGCAAGGCTGTGAACAAAGACTGTGTCCTGTACAAACATTTTAAAATGGAAAGCTTAACAACAGTACTACAGGGGATCCAAAAAGGAGATTTATTGACATTGATTGATCTCACAAATGGCTTTCACAATTTTGCCCTCCACCCAGACCACTGAAAGTACTTCGCCTTTAAATGGAAAGAGGAATTGTACATCTTCACAGCACTGCCAATGGGTTTCATAGAGGCACCCAGGCTATTTACAATTATTATGAAAGCATTGCTGAAAGTCCTACACCAAAAAGGTATCCGTGTACATGCATATAATAAGGTGAACAGTAGATGGCAGGGACTTTGACCATGTTTTCACAATATAGACTAACATATATTTCACAAGTCAATATTCACAAGAGTAAGAGTATAAGTGTAAGAGGTCTGCTCAAGTCAAGAACTATGGTCAGAGTGCCAATTTGTTCCCTTGCTTTGCGTCACCTCTGGTTCCTTCCCCCCAGATTGTGTTGCTGATAGATCTGTTGATAAGCGTTGATCCAGTGTGTTTCCATGGGGCATGTGGTTTTGTGGTGTGCATGTGCATTTGAGGCACGCAAGTTAGCATTCTGCCTAGATGTTGCCCTTGGTTGTAAGGGTTTGCCCTTACTCTCCCCTGCTGAAAAAGTGTGTTGACCTGGGTCTTTCCTTCTGCCCCGAAAAACAAAAGTTTGCAACATGTATGAGTGATCGTGTTTTGCAGATGTATCAGATGGTTTGTGTTTTTCAGGCTGCGCATATCCATGGTCCAATCTTGTTGTTCTTTGTTCTTCTGTTTGCGCCTTGGTTGTTGGCCTTGTGTATGAGTGATTGGATGGTGTTACTATGGATTCTTGTCCTGTTGCAATGTGTATCAGGCCCAGTTGTTTTTTGAACCCTGGGTTTGGTTCATGTGGTGGCCCATGATATGGGACCAGCTCCCAGCCATTGACCCGTCAAATGTGAGGATTTTTGTGAGGAAAAGATTACTCACAAAAGGTGAAATAATTTGCTTCTCAATCAAAAAATAGTAATAGTTTGCTTCTGATGAAAAGCTGAGACTTTTAGTTCCCTTTCTGAGAGATAGCTAAAGGAAACAAGGATTGCTTATAAAATCTTTGATGCTTGACGAAGAAGGGAAGAGAGCTGAGGTGAATATCAACAATAAAGAAATAATCAAGCAAAACTGATCAGCTGGGCTGCGGCCGGGACTTGCGTCCTAGTATAAATTGCTGTATTATGGCCAATTGAACCACACTCAAGCACAAGTGAACCTTTTTGGAGTCAAATGTAGTAGGAGAATCAGGGACAAATTTCGAATGACACACTGGTAAAAAATGCGCAAATTGCTTGATCTCTGGAGATCTGCATGGCACAAACTCTGAAACACAAGTGAAGTGAGAAAAGAGACCAGCAAGAGTCTGTTGGGGTGGATTAGGCCTGAAGGCCAGGCTTCAACTCTTACTTTCTCACTCTTCAAGGACCATTCTCTCAAGGCTTTAAGCCTTTTCCTTGTAGAGAGAGTGGTCCTTGAGGATTAGTGAAGGAATTTGTCCTTGCCAAGCCTGGGAACCGAATTTCTGTGAGGTTCCCAGGCTTTTCAGGATTGTTTTTATTCTTGAGGATTTCTGCTGGGTGCCAGTCTGGCGTTTTTTCCTTACAACCTGCACCAACGTGG